ACACACACACACACACACACACACACACACACACACACAGACGCACATACACACAGACACACATACACTCACACATACACACACACACTCACACATACACACACGCACACACACACACACACACACACACATATTTATATATATCTATTTGTCCATATATAAGTATATATATATACATAATTTGGCCTCTAGATACCTCTATATACTTGTATATACTCGTTGAAGTATGTGCACACACAATCTCTCTCTGTCTTTCTCATATACACACACACACACAATTTCTGATGAATACCAGCGCAGGTGGTATTCTCGAATCACATCATTGTGCACGTGGGTAGTGGAATGTGAATATAACAATAACTAATTTCTATTCACGTGCAGGTATGCGATACAAGTCGCTGTCCATGCACACAGCGACACCCTTATTTCCCCTTGCGTCAAAGCCCATGGTTCATCACCATTTAGAAGCACTCGCCAAGGTATTTTATTTTATCCGTACAGTTGTAGTGAAGGCTATTGATAGTACCAGTATGTGTGTATATCTTTACTACGAGTAGTCACTTTTGTATTGTTATGCGTACTTGTAGGAACGCGATATAATACTCGCAAAGGTATATCACACGTGCACGTACAACTATTCTTACTGTCAACTTCCAATGAATTGCAAACTGGCGTGTTGGTCTGTTCTATAAGCGCTCGCAAACGTATGCCATTTATGTCTTCATCCCAAACGCACTCACCAGCGTATCACAGATGTACTTTCCAATCACTATTTCTGTGTTCGACCCTAATTATACGCAACCACGGATGCTAGGTGCAGTCGATCAATACTCGCTGCTTGCTAACTGAACAACTTTTGAAGTTGTGGATTTTACTTTTATATCTGTTCACACCTTTGTGGCGGTCCCACACTTACAATGTGATATCCGAATCGAAACCTTTGACAACTAAGCATTGCTCTATACGCAATACCGTGTACTTCCGATAGGTGAACGGTCTGGATGAAGTTCTTCTGATCGGCTTCTATCAGGATCACGAGTTGTCCGCTACAGTATCATATCTCCAGGAAGATGCCCCCTTCAAAATCAGGTAATGTGTTAGTGGGTGTGCGGCTTGAACGGTATTCCGGATTGTTTTATGCCGCCCTTTATGGGTCAATATCTGAGAGTTGGGTTTTTGGGGAAAGATTATTGGAAATTTACGAAGCATATTGTTACAAAACTTTGTCGCATCTACGCAGTTTGTTTTGGTTGCCATGACAGCAGTATGATATGTTCAATATACATTTGAGCAGGTATGAGTACCCAATAGTATCATGTGCGCCTACAACTTTTTTTTGAGATGACATCCGGCTAGTTTTCGGGTCGTATTTAGCTGTACATATTCTATCTGCATGGGTGTCGGTACACTTGCGAACTTTCGCTCAGAGTACCGTTCTACAAAATGCGTGCATCCTCTAAACATGAACCTATAAACTCAAGCATCGGTTGCACATGTATATGCACTTCTCCATGAACACATCTACAGGTATCTTCCGGAATCAAAAGGGCTCGGCACGGGTGGGGGTATGTATTACTACCGTGAGGAGATTATGCGTGGCGACCCCGACAAAATTCTAGGTAGGTGATAAGAATGGTACACATACTTATAAATCAGCACCTGACGGGACTCCTTTAGTGTTATCCGAGTTTGTCGGTCGTAGCCCGATAGTTCTCATAACAGGCCTGTAAGTATGAAGGACTTATCAATTGATATTCGATCCTTGGTTTGTTTGTTCAGTCATCCACGTGGATGTTGTCGCCAACTTCCCGTTCGATGCGATGATTAAGAACTTCGAGAAGCTCCCCGAAGGAAAAGTGGTCTCTGTCATGGGAGTCAAGGTTGGTGCGCATAAGAATGGATTTCATTCTAAAACTTCATGGTATACAAATTTAGAATGTCATATATACACCGATAGGATTTATACTTCTTGGACCACGTAGGTTGATGAGAGTCCGTACACACGCACAACAAGGCCTTCTAATATTCACCAACGTGAACAAGTTTACTAAAAGTTATTGGATAGTAGTACACACACGCATACACACACACACACACACACACACACACACACACACACACACACACAC